GCATCTGCTGTCCATTTAAATCTTCGAAACTTAGCCAAGTCATAGAAGGGACACTAGTAAGCCGGATCTCATTACAGCAGCCATTTGTGCTACCGTGACAGGTGTTCTCTACTCTGAAAAATATGACATACGTGTATTACTTGTGTATGTGAAAATATTAGAAACATTTCATGTCGTTTGGCCTTTTAAAATAAAACTGCTGTTTTCCGAATTAAGAACTTCACAAGTTTGATATCTCTTAACAGGGACATACAGGCTTTTTCTTTTCTCTTTATTTTAAACTTTTCTAAGATATCTTTCAGTGGATTAGAAATTGAAAATCAGTTTCCTTTTTGCATTTTGTATACTATGCAAAGAAACTACTATATTATCACAGAAAAAAAGTTTTCTGATATTATGTAACAGAGAAATTACATTTTAGAGACACTTTCATTACGATGTATAGACTTGGCAGAAACTAGACTAGAAGTGTGTGATGTCTATAGGTTATTTATCAAAATCTTTTTGCACTTGGAGCAAGACAAGATAACTAAAGTGAGTTTTGATGAAAATAGCAAAATATCTTACTTATACCAACTCTGTTGGGTAATTTTCTAAAAGATAGTTTTAGCATAAGCATTTGTTTTTATAGATGCTATGTTATTTCAGTATTTTTCATGATTCAGTGAAATTCAGGATACTTGTATGTCATGTTCTGTTTATTAATAAACTGTATTTGTTTGAAATTTTTATTTTCTATAGACAATGGGATGAACAGTTGGATCCTCGACTAAATGCAAAACAGAAAGAGGCGGTTCTGGCCATTACAACTCCACTTTCAATACAGCTGCCTCCTGTTCTCATCATCGGACCCTATGGGACAGGCAAAACGTTCACTCTAGCTCAGGCCGTAAAGCACATCCTCCAGCAGCAGGAGACGAGGTGAGATGGTGGTATGTGTGCTCCGATCTCGTTAGCAGGGCATGACCTTGGTCCTTGTTGTGAATGCAAAGTGAGAGCTAGCAAGCCAGCTTGTAAAAATTTTAAAAAATAAAAAAGAGAAAAGGACCCACACTCAAACCCCAAAGCACTAAAATTTGAATTCTCTTAAAACATACTGTTTAGAAAAATTGGCAATGTAGAGAATGATAGCGTTTAAATAAATAGCCAGCAAAACTCCAAGTCTGCTAAGGAATTATGACATATATTAGAGCAAAAGGGTTGGATTTTTAAAAAATAATTTTATGTGATGGATTTAGTAATAATTTGGGGGAACTTATTTCCTTTATAGCATAAAGAGTAATATAATTTTCTGAAGCATCATTGAATTTTATGTTAGAGGTTATTGAGTAGGTTGAGGGAAATGTATAATGTTAAGATGGCCACTGCTTTTTTTTGGTATTATACTGCTTGAATAGTTTTGTGTTTTATCATT